TGTGGCCGAAGCGATAAAGGTTGGCAACTCTAAGAAGAGCTGTTACAACGCAGAGCTGTTGTGGCCGAAGCGATAAAGGCTGGCGGCAACTCTAAGAAAAGCTGCAGCAACGCAGAGCTGTTGTGATCGAAGCGATAAAGGTTGGCAACTCTAAGGAGAGCTGTTGTAATGCAGGACTGCTGTGGCCGAAGCGATAAAGGTTGGCAACTCTAAGAAGAGATGTTGCAATGCAGAGCTATTGTAGCCGAAGCGATAAAGGTTGGCAACTCTAAGAAAAGCTGCAGCAATGCAGAACTGTTGTGGCCGAAGCGATAAAGGTTGGCAACTCTAAGAAGAGCTGTTGCAACGCAGAACTATTGTGGCCGAAGCGATAAAGGTTGGCAACTCTAAGAAGAGTTGTTGCAACGCAGAACTGTTGTGGCCGAAGCGATAAAAAATGAAATGGATTCACATATATATAGAAAATAATAATGGGCCTCGTGAGCCTAATAGGCCGGACCCAAGCCTTGGCCCAACACGAGATAATTTATGGTGTAACAACAGTCATTGAAATCCAACACATCAAAAATCAACGTAAAATGTGCTGGAAATCCAATACCATTAATGGAGGTCAAAGCGATCTTCTACTTCCCGTCCACGTTCGTGTTCTGCACACGCAGAATATGCTGGAAATCCTCATTTGCTATCAAAGACATGGCTACTGCTGCGAATTGGCTGTGGAAAATATCAAGAAAGAAAAGGAAGAAAATTCATGGACCAACCAATTTCGACCCAGCCTGTTCGTACACATTTCGCCCAAATTGGTGATGACTCATGGGTGGAATAGTTGTGCCATGAAGAGGGGATGGTAGCCCATGTGGTTCGAGATCATGGGGACCACCACCGTCGCCGGAATTTGGGTTTTCCGGCCGTGAACACGTTTCGAAAAACAACTGCATATTTTGATTTTCTTTGTTATTTGATGTAATTGGAACATGAATGGATGCGTCTAGGTGAGCTTGAGGGACCTGTGGAGTGTAATTAACATGGGCATCCATGGATTGGGTCGAAATGGGAAGAAAATCGTGCGTGAATGCCATTTTTTGGCCTAATTTTGGTTCAAGTTTGATGTTTTTTGGGGCTGGAATTTGTGTATGTATGTTAGGTGTTGATGAGGAAATGGTGTTGGTGCGAAAATCTGGTGGCCATGGTGGCCTGAAAATGGCCGGCAGGCAACGGTGGGGAAGAAGGTGAGTTGTGGGAAGAAGGTGAAGTTTGGTGGGTTATTTGCACTCTTAAAAAGTTTGGGCCTATCGTTGCAATTTGTTGGATTGCTTTTCTTTTCTTTTTGTTTTATTTAAATGAGGGGTAAAATCATCAAAAACATGTGAAAATGACGTTCAGCGCACAAAAATGTTGAAGGTAAGGGCATAAATGCCAAGAAATGAAAGGTAGGGACGGTTTTCGAAATCAACCCCAAAGGTAGGGACGTTTTGTGCTAATTAGCCTTAAAATTATTACAACACACAAATCTTATTACTTATAAGTCTATGACGTTCAGCGCACAAAAACATTGAAGGTAAGGGCATAAATGCCAAGAAATGAAAGGTAGGGACGGTTTCCGAAATCAACCCCAAAGGTAGGGACGTTTTGTGCTAATTAGCCTTCTATTTTTGTTTTTCTTAGAGAATTTTGCATCCACGGTCTCCGAACGTCACACTTAGTAGCACTTGGGTCTTCATTTTATTTTTAGCATTCAGCTCCCTAACCTATCACATTTGGTTGCACGCCTATTAATTGGATAATATACCAATCCAAAATTCCGTTAAATTATCTACTCAAGTTTATTAATGTCAACCAACTGAGGAAAAAAAAAGGGAAGACGAGGAGAGAGAAGGAAGAAAAGAAAATCTTGATAAATCGTAAAAGTGTGTGTTGGTTGTTGAGTTACAATTTCAAGAAGTTATTAAACGCCCTAAACCAAATTCTTCCCTCACATGAACGTGTAGGTCGAGATGAGCTGGCGTAATGTGGTTAGAAAAAGGTAACAGATGTTGAAATTAAAGTCTCCCTTTCAAAATAATAGTCTAAAATGGATGTATTCACGGAGAACAAAAGATAACACCAAAATATGCAACTAGTACATCAATACAAACTAGTAGTCTAGTACATATCTTTGCTAGAAACCATGTAATTAACCAATCCAAAAGAGAGTTATAACTCACCAAT